CATTACCATTAACTTAACCGGCCTAAAACTGCATGAATTTGTGACCTCATAATTTCTGTGGGTCAGGAGTCTAGGCATAGGTTAGCTGAGAACCTTGCTTAGGATCTCACCAGGCTAAAAATCAAGGTGACAGCTGGACCTCTAATCTCCACAGAAGGGTAGAGCCCTATTCCAAGATCATTCAGGTTACTGGCCTGAACTGAGTTCCCTGTGGTTGAATTACTGACGTGCCCATTTTATTGCTAACTTTTGGCGTGGGGTCACTCTCAACTTCTAGAAGCTACCTCTAGGTCCTTGACACATGGCCCCTTCCTCTGGCAATAGGAAAGCTTACTTCTTTAGGCCAGCAGGAAAGGTTCTCTTTTAAGGGTTCACCTGATTAAGTCAGATCCACCCAAGATAATCTCCCTTTTGATTAACTCAAAAATTAATGGGGACCTTGATTACCACTGCAAAATCCCTTCACTTTTTCCATAAAAGAACCTAATCACAGGAATGAAATCCCACCTTATATGCAAGTTCTTTCCACACAGAAGAGAGAAGATTATACAAAACATGTATACCAGGCACAGAAATCTTGTGGGTCATTTTGGAGTTCTGCCTCCTACAACTTGGCTTCCACTCTTGTTGCCTTCAATCTTGAGGATCCATCTAACCAACATGCTTTACGTAAATAACAAATTTACATAGACTTTAAGTTAGATCATGTCACTTATTTATTATGTTCCAATTACTCCTGATTACGTTTGTGCTAAAATTCAAATTCCTTCTGATGGCCTACAAGGTGTTACATGATCTGATTGCTGTTGGCTACTTCTTGGGCCTAATTTCATGCCACTAACTTTAGCTCACTACCCACAGCCACACTAGCCTTCTGATCCTCAAACATTCTGCACTCATTCCTACCTCAGGGCCTTTGTACTTGCTATTTCCTCTGTCTGGGGGTGGGGGGCAGGTAACTATTTCCCAGCTATTTACAGGACTGGCTCCTTCTTGCCATTTAGATCTCATTTCAAATATCACACTCTTTAACCACACTATGTAAAACTTTTTCCTCTCCCTAGTAATTTTCTATTACATTATTTTGTTTGATTGTTTTCATGATTACCTATTTACTGTCTGTGCTCCTCATTTCAATGTAAGCTTTATGGGGGCACTTGGGTGGCTCAGTCTGTTAAGCCTCCAACTCGATTTCATCTCAGGTCAGGATCTCACAGTTGGTGAGATCTAGCCCCGAGTCAGACGGTGCTGACAGTGCAAAGCCTGCTTGGGATTTCCCCTCTCTCCCTCTCTCACTGCTCCTCCCCCACTTTCTCTCTCTCTCTCTCTCTCTCTCTCTCTTTCTCAAAATGAATACATAAACTTAAAAAATGTTTAAAAAATGTAAACTTTATGAAAGGCTATCTTACATCCATCTAATTCACCACTATATCCCCAATATTTAGAAGAGTGCCTGGTACATGGTAGATACTCAAAGTGTTGGGTAAAAGTAAAGGTAAAAGTAATTCATTCTATTAGAATGAATTGTACTTAACATAGTTCATGATATTTATTTTAGGCAGATACTTGCAGTCACTTCACTTTACAGGGCATGAGGAAGTGGGAAAAGAAAAAGTGAAAAACTAATCCTTCACAGTATGCCATTCATTCCATTATCACTTAAAGTATTCACTGGAAATATAAGTATAAAGGTTATGATCATGGAGGCCACTGTCCTGTGTGGTGTTCACTTCCTTAATACTAAAGAAAAAAATCAAAAAGAAAACAGAATTTTGCTTTTTCAGGCTTTCATTTACTAAATGAATTACCTCCCTCCAGGCAAAAATTCTAAAAAGGCCCTCTTCAATTAAACAAATTTTATTTATTTTTATTATTTTAAAAAAAAATTTTTTTAACGTTTATTTATTTTTGAGACAGAGAGAGACAGAGCATAAACGGGGAGGTCAGAGGAGAGGGAGACACAGAATCGAGAAACAGGCTCCCAGGCTCAGCTTCCCATCGCTGGGAGCCAGCCGGAACTCACTGAACTGTGAGATCTGTGACCTGAGCGAGTCAGCCCCAGCTAACACCGACTAATTAGCCACCAGGTGCCCCTAAACAAATTTTTTTTTTTTTTAATTTTATACATTTATTTACTTTTTTTTAATATATAGGGGTGTGTCAAATTGGACACTTTCAACACATGCTGAGTGTCTATCTCATGTATGGTGCCCTCCTCAATACCCATCACCCACCCTCCTCCTCTCACCCCATCAGCCTCAGTTTGTTCTCAGTTTTAAAGTCTTATGCTTTGGCTCTCTCCCTCTAACCTCTTTTTTTTCTTCCCCTCCCCGTGGGTTCTGTTAAGTTTCTCAGGATCCCACTTCAAAACATATGGTGTCTGTCTTTCTCTGTATTTCACTTAACATATGCTCTCCAGTTCCATCACGTTGCTACAAAGGGCCATGTATTTCATTCTTTCTCATTGCCACGTATTATACATTATTGTGTATAAACCCACAGTTCTTTATCCATTCATCAGTGGATCCCAAACTCTTTCCATGAATTTGGCTATTGTTGAGTGCTCTATATATATGAACAATTTGGGAGATTTGCCTGGTGCCCTATGCATCGATACTCCTGTTTCCTTGGGTAAATTCCTAGCAGTGCTACTGCTGGTCATAGAATAGATCTATTTTTAATTTTTTGAACCTCCACACAGTTTTCAAAGAGCAGCCTGCATAAGTTTGGAAACTTCCCGCCAACAGTGCAAAAGTACATTTCTCCACATCCCTCTCAGCATCTATGGCTGATTTGTTCATTTGGCCGCTCTGACTGGCGTGAGGTGATATCTGAGTGTGGTTTTGATTGGTAGTTCCCTGATGAGGAGTGATGTTGAGCATCTTTTAATGTGCCTGTTGTCCATCTGGATGTCTTCTTTAGAGAAGTGTCTATTCATGTTTTCTGCCCATTTCTTCCAGTTATTTGTTTTTTTTGGTGTGGGTTTGACTCTTTATAGATTTTGGATACTAGCTCTTTGTCCGATATGTCATTTGCAAATATCTTTTCCCTGGTTGCCTTTTAGTTTTGTTGATTGTTTCCTTTGCTGTGCAGAAGCTTTTTATCTTCATGAGGTCCCAATAGTTCATTTTTGCTTTTGATAGAGACAAAGCACAAGTGGAGGAGGGACAGAGAGAGAGGGAGACACAGAATCCAAAGCGAACCCGGGCTCACCAGGCTGTCAGCACCAGAGGCCGGCTCAAACTCACAAACCATGAGATCATGACCTGAGCCGAAGTCGGATGCTTAACCGACTGAGCCACCCAGGCATCCCCAGTTAAATTTTAGAGGACTGAGTAAGGAGAACAATATAGCCTGATTTCAAAGTATGAGCTACAGGCGGTGAGAGATGAAATGGGGTTTGGGGTGCTGGTTTGAACCTAATTCTAGCAGTATTTCTAAATGCCTGTAGGCTGAACAGAATAGCATAAGCCATCAACCTGTAATCCAAGTCTAATAAACTGATGAGAAATAAGAATAAGCCTTTTCCTCCTTATTGAATTTTCCAACTGAAGACAGCAAACATTTTTAGCAATTCTTAGTAGAAGCTCATGGACATGATACAGCATTTTTCCATTCATCAATTCTCTGTATTCTGTAGCATTTCTTACTTACCCTTGGTCATTTCTAATTGCATAAATGTGTAAGCTAAGCTTTGGATCTCTTCATGGTAGATAATGATCATCCCAACTTGCTCCTGATAAATCTAGGATCTAGAGCAATTTTTTTATAACCTCAAAGTAATGGTAGAAAACACTGGAAATCTAGAGTTTTAAAAACCCATTCTTTTTTTTTTTTTAAGTCTTTGCATTACTTAGCAACCATCTTAAAATAGAGGAGACACTTTATAAAATAGAAAAATGTGGCTTATGTTGATGGCTATAGTGTGAAACATTTCATTTATTTACATGACCTTTTTTAAATGGAAAAATACAAAGCGTGATTTAAATAGAACAAGGATATAAAAGTCTATCATTTCTATAAAGTTCTCTATATTTTATCATTTCAAAAATAATAAAAATAGGTTAACAGTGTCTTTATTGCTTCTGTGTGTTTTCTGTACTTTCCAAAGTTCCAAAGTCACTGTGTCAAGAAAAAAAGCAAAGAAACTATTTCTCAAATTTCCTGTTTTTCCCTCCTCTGTCATAAAATAGATAACTATGTGAGAATTAACTTGGAATTTTTACTACATTTTTGAAGAATAAATGTGAGGTTACCAAAGAAACTGTGCTTGTCTCTGACTCCTCCCCTCCCCCAACTTTTTTTATTATTGTTTTGTGTTTATGTGGATTGAAAAGCTGAAAATAACTAGGAGAAATAAAGGAAGAGCTCATGTTTTCCACAGAACTTTTAGTCATTTTTATCTGGTCCAGATTTATTCTGTTTGGCTGAGCCCTAAAGCACTGTCTAATTCTAAGAAGGGCCTGGCAAGATGGTTGTAGTTTCTTCAGGGCAGACAGAAGAGAGGGGAAACGGCTATAGAAGACAATATGGATGGATCAGAGTCCCTTCCTAAGTGCCTGGGATGCCAGCTACCAATTTAGGTTCCATGAAGTTAATTTTCATCTGTTCCCAAGTCTGTTTGTCTTTCCTCGCTCACATACCGATGATTCAAGTGCTAAGAACCAGGCACATACACCCATGCATACCCATTTCTTGTGCATTTAGTGAGTGTACACTGTGCCAGCTTTCCCAAGCACTTCCTTACACATTGAACAAAGGGAACAAAAATCATAACATACCCACCCTTGCTTGTGAGGGAAGCAGCAATAATCACAGAGTTACAGATTCAGGACAAGAGGTAAGAGGTAAAACAAACTGCCGTACTTAATGATGAGAAGGTTCCACACCTTCCCTCTTGACTGGGAGCATGGCAAAGACTTGAGGTGTTGCTTCCCAGAGGACCATCAGAAAGGATTCCCTTTACACTCCCGTGAACACTTTTCTGTCTTTTCACACAGGCGTTACCCTGAATGTCGTTGCATTAACTTTGGATCCTGGTTTATGCTTTCCTTCCCGGCAGCTATTATTATTCTATTCTTGTCCTGGATCTGGCTTCAGTGGCTTTTCCTAGGATTCAAGTAAGTAAAAATTCCATGTTGATCGGATAACTAAAGGTGTCTCGGTTCCCAGTTCTCAGCTGCTCACCCAGTGCCCTTTCACCCGTTTCGTGCACACGGAGTCTCTGCATTTCTCTTCCTTACAAAACTGATGCACATGAGCACATATTTTAAGGATAAGCTAAAACATTATCTAAACAGTGTTGGCTGTGGAGGAGAGTTTGTAAAAAGCAAATCTATCTTGGTCTTCTTTGAATCCTAAGCTAATAATTTATTAATCAGCTGGAAGGGCATAAGGAACTTGTGGTAAGGACCCAGTCCAGCTTGTTAAAGTGGAATTTCAAGAAGTTTTGTCCCTCCTTTTTGTTTAATGTGGGGATTTCCTCTGGTTACCTAGTCACCTTAAACTATAGCATGCAATATTCCTGCTTCATCTTGGCACCAAAATTAGTACATCCTTGAAAAAATCACATAAAGACGTGAGAGTGTGCCCTGTGGAAAGAATGTTAGATTAGGAATCAGGAGACCAGGGATAAAGACTGTGGCTTCTCACAGTCCAGATGAGTGATCTTTCTCAGTCTCCATGTTTTCAACTGTAAAATGATGGAGCTTCATTGGATTATCAGTAAGATCACTTCCAACACTGCCATTCTAACACATATGGGTCCAAGGTGAACACCTAGAAGTCAAGGTGAGAAACACTGATCAAGAAAGAGCCACTAAAATGTCAAATACATGTATTCAAGGAAAATTTGCCAATAATGCCTTGGCTGGACTGAAGCTGGTAGTTCATAAGTACCAATGAGTTACAATACTTAAATGACAGCCAGCATTTAAAATTATGAAGGACTCCACAGCAAAATCTAAATAAATATATATATATATATTTATATATATATTTATATTTATATATATTTATATATAACAGTACTCCACAAAGAAAGGGGAAATGGCTATAAATCAAACCCTGAGAATTTTTTTCCTGAAAAAACAAAACAATTGAAATTCATCTTTATCGGCTATTTAAATAATCTCAAGGACCTATGAACAAAACAACGTGTTATCTACTAAGCGGGTGAGACTGAAGTCAGCTATCTGTGCTTCCTTTGAAAAGCAAAGCACTGTGTCCATGTGGTGGTCTGTGCCCATGCCCAAATTTTCCAAGCCTAGTCACCTAAGGACTCATATTCTTCCCTCTCCATTTCCTCTTCCTGATTTTTCTCCAGAACTGCCACAGTTTTGTTAGCAGTGGGAAGATGATACTGATGATTTAAAAAACAAAAAAAATAAAAAATAAAAAAACTGTTTGTCCAGATTGTGGGAGCAGCGTGTGGCAGTTCTCCTGCTGAAGCAAATGTGTGGAATGTCACTGACTTCAGCAGGTGGGCATCAGTGGGGAGAAGCCAGCTGCATACTAAATGCCCCTTCCTGGAAATCCAAGCCTCTGGGGGTCTATTCAGTTGCACAGGTAGCAATTCAAGATACAAAGGACAGGAATCCCAACTAAGGGAGAAAGCACCCCGTCACAGACCCATAGTTGTTTCCTTCTTTGTTGCTACATATAATGACTTTATAAAAAAATGTATGCAACCATTGTCATTATTATGGAATGGCCTACCCTGTATAAAGGAGAAATTAAGAAAATAAAGGGCAGATGTATTGAAAGGTGTTCTCAGTGAGGACAAAAATCCTGTGAAGTGCATACATTAGGCAAAAGTCCATAAATCATGATCGGTGACATATTTAAGCAGTCCCGTTGCTGTCCGCTATCGGTTAGACATTACACAACTTCACACTCCGGCCAATTTTTCAGTGTCCATTTCAGTCAGTCTGGGTCTTCACCTCCAAAGGTTTTAGATCAACAAACGGAAATTATCAGCCACTCCCCTGGCAGGCCACCCTACATTCTGGTTAGCGTGTTGGCTGTTAACACAGTTAACTCACCCATTATAAATGATCCCAGCATACTTGGGAAGAGAGGCTCATCTATCAGTGCTGCTGAACTTATTTAAGTGAAGAGGTTGATGCATTGTCATATGCTTCATCAGTTCCTTTGTGAAGGCATTAACCTTCTTTGTAGCAAAGCCAATATGGCGTTGGACTTATTATTTATAGTCCCCAACCAAAGAGACCAAATACATATACAGTCTACTGGCTGGAAAACATTTTTTAGGGAGACTTGCCTCTTTTTTTAATTCTACTTTTCTGTTCTACAGATGGATATCAAGGTGGTTCAGGATCAATTTCTTATAATAGTAGTATTTATATTGTGACAAGGGGTAAAATTTCAAGACCAGCACTAGTCAGTAATTTAGTTGAGATTATAAACATTAAATATTATCTCATTGATCTTAAGTATAACAACATCCATCTCATTATGTTCAGGGGTTGGAATGTGTGCAGGAGAATGATTATGAAAATGTAGAATGGATGATTTAAGAATTGAGGAAACTCGGGGTGCCTGGGTGGCTCAGTCAGTTAAGCGTCCGACTTTGGCTCAGGTCATGATCTCAGGGTCTGTGGGTTTGAGCCCTGCATCTAGCTCTGTGCTTACAGCTCAGAGCCTGGAGCCTGTTTCAGATTCTGTGTCTCCCTCTGTCTCTACCCCTCCCCCACTTGTTCTCTCTCTCTCTTTCTGTCTCTCTCTCTCAAAAACAAATAAGCATTAAACAAAATTTTTTAATTAAAAAAACGAATTGAGGAAACTCGGCTCCTTCAAAGGGAATAATAGTCCAAACAAGTCTGAGTGGCAGAGCTACAGAAATAAATAGATAAATAAATAAAATGTCTCTGTGTGATAGCTGTCTTCACACCGCCTCAGTCTTCCAGCTTCCTCCCCCATATACGTCCATGTTCAGCCCAGCAATTTTACAGAAGAATATGCTTCTGTGCTCGTTCTTCTCCTAAAATTGCTTTCACTGACGTCTGATTGACCTACAAAAAACCATAGATATTTGATATGTACAACGTGTTTGGAGATCAGTGTACACCCATGAACCATCATCAATGTGAAGGCCAAAAACTTTTCCATCACCTCCAAGTTTCCTTTTGTCCCTGCGCTTTTTCTTTTTTTCTCCTTTTTGTGGTAAAAGCACTTAACATAAGATCTGCCCTCTCAGTGAATTTTTAAGTATACAATACAGTATTGTGAATCATAGGCCTTATTTTGTGCAGTAAATATCTAGAGCTTATTTATTTTTCATAAGGGAAACTTTGTACCCTTTGACTAATACCTCCCCATTGCCCTCTCCTTCCATTCCCTGGCAAACACCATTTTACTCTCTGCTTTTATGTGTTTGACTGTTTTGGATTCTGCATTTCTGTAAGATCATACAGTATGTGTTTTTCTGCATCTGGCTTATTTCACTTAGCAGAATGTCCCCGAGTCCATCTGTCTTACTACAAATGGCAGGATTTCCTTCTTTGAGGCTGAATAATATTCCATTGTATGTATAAGCCACTGTTTCTTTTTTTTTTTTTTTTTTTCAACGTTTATTTATTTTTGGGACAGAGAGAGACAGAGCATGAACGGGGGAGGGGCAGAGAGAGAGGGAGACACAGAATCGGAAACAGGCTCCAGGCTCTGAGCCATCAGCCCAGAGCCTGATGCGGGGCTCGAACTCACGGATCGCGAGATCGTGACCTGGCTGAAGTCGGACGCTTAACCGACTGCGCCACCCAGGCGCCCCTGTTTCTTTTTTTTAATACCACTTTTACTTTACCTACTTGTTTGTCAGTGGACATCTGAGTTGTTTCCATGTCTTGACCATTGTGAATAATGGTTCAGTGAACATGTGAGTGCAGGTATCTGGTCAAGATCCAGATTTCAATTCCTTTGGATATACACTCAGAAATGCCTTCCCTACTGCACATAATGTAATCTAACTCACCTACTCAAAGACCTTCCAAAAGGTAGTCCAGAAGAATCTAGCCATTTGCTCATTTGTTCATTCCTCTGGAGGGATTTTTTGTTTTTAATCTAGGCGCTAGAGCAGTACTTCACAAAAAAAAAAGTTTTGAAGACCCTGGACTTCGAGAAAGAAAAATTAGTCACAGGGGAAGGTATCACTAAAGTCAACAGCTGAAAGAAATAGGCATCGGCAGTTACTATTGGCAATAGTTGAAAAACTATCTAGTAGATTCTGTTAAGACATAAGAGGTCAAGAATCTTATAGGAAAAAAAAAATGGAACCAAGTTGTTTTCGTTCTGAGAATAGATCTAGTTCAGACTCTGCTCATGATCATGGTACATGACTTCGCTGCCCTAGTGTATGACCCGAGTTTAGTATATTTTGTGAAAACTGATGGATCTGACAACGAGCTGTCTCAATTTGACCAAGGTACTGTTGAGTTGATGAGTCGAGTGTTTGTTTTACATGCCAGTTATATGTACAGTGTTGAGAGTCGCTGTACCAAAGGGAACATCTATGACACTGCCCCTGCCTTCAAACAATTGGTTATCTCACTAGTGAGATAAAACCTACACATGTGCAACAATTAACAGTCAAGATAGACAAGACATAGATTAAAATCTATAACAATCAGGTATATAATAAAGCGTTAAATTAGAGATGAGCGTCTCATGGCAAAATTCCAAGGGTACAGAGGTAGAAACAGGGAAGATGTGTGAAAATGAGAAACAAAAATTAAGTCTCGCAAATTGAGAAAACCAGGCAAAAGAGGAAAAAGGGGAGAGGACATTCAAAGAAGGTGATGGAGGTATAGACACCAAGCACAGATTTCTGTTATTGGCCGGGAGATCCGTATTTTATAAAGCTTTCACACAAATCTCTTCTATGAAGGGAGAATTCTTTGCTTAACAAGTTTATTCTTTTCAGTTTTAAGGAGATGTTCAAATGTGGCAAGACCAAAACAGTCAAGCAAAAAGCCTGTGCTGAGGTGATTAAACAAGAATACCAAAAACTTGGGCCAATAAGGTAAGATGCACCTGCACGCAGACGCACAAGCAAACACACTCATGCTCACACAGGTGCATACTGTTTATACTGCAAGTATTCGTGCAAAGGGAAACAGGCACATAATAGTCTATAATATGTTTAGGACACCTAATAAGGGCCTTGAATATGCTAGCCCTTGTAAATAGATCTCAACATGACAAAATACATACTTTTAGCTCACTGAAATTTACCAGGTAGAATCAAAGGAAGCCGAAGACTCCACAGAGGAGTCGAGTCCTTTTCTAACTGTGCTGGTTCTCTCAAATTGTTGACACGTAATCATCTGGTTTTTACAGCGTTTAGTGTTCTGCTAAGATTACTCTGGCAATAGCTCAGGGAGTTTCTACGAATGTCCTGACTGAGAAAATAAATGAAATGATGGGAATTTTTGCACAGGTATCAGGAAATTGTGACCTTGGTCCTCTTCATTGTGATGGCTCTGCTATGGTTTAGCCGAGATCCTGGGTTTGTTCCCGGTTGGTCTGCACTTTTTTCCAAGTAAGCATTACATATTATGTTTGTCAAACCTTACTGTTTTTTGTTTTGTTTTGTTTTGTTTTCTGGTTTTCTCCTAAGTGGTTCCTATAACTCTATAAGATTATATGAGACTTTTTCCCCCTTCCTTTCCACTGAAAAGATTTAATTCTAATCTTTTCAGGAAAAAAAATAAGAAATGAAATTTAAGGTAAGACTGCAGATAAGATAATCATATATTCTGTAACTAAAAGTCAGGCTCCTTTAGGCAAAGCTATTCCCAGCCTTACAAAATTAGAAATATAATCTGTAGGAAAGCCATGATCTGTGGTGGTTTGGAGTGCAGACTGTGGAGCCTCACTGCTTGAGGTGTATTCTGGATCTTCCACTTTGGGCAAGTCACTTATATCACAGTTCCTTCATCTGTGAAATAAGGTTAATAACAGCACTTAGAATAGCGCTGCCCTACTCTATACTGACAGTGCAGAGCCTGCTTGGGATTCTCTCTCTCCCTTTCTCTGCCCTCCCCTGCTCTCTCTCTCTCTCTCTCTCTTTCTCTCTCTCAAAATAAATAACATAAACTTAAAAAAAAAAAAGAGTAGTGCTGCCCTTACTCCCTACAGAAATGCAATATTTATTATTAAGTGAGATAAATGTCACTCCATCCTTGTTAATAACCTGAGATGGATCGCTTCTCAGCCTTTTGGCTAAGATCAAGTGTAATAACCTGAGATGGATTCATATTCTGTGATTTTTGCCAACTTATTTTTTTTTTACTCAGGTCAGTATCTTGTCTTTTTTTTTCTAATTATGTTCCTTTTTTATACTAGTTCACTATAAATCCATCCCTGCCCCTATTTATTAGATAAAGAATTCCTGAATAAGTAATAAGACTGATTTTAGAAACTAATGTTAGCAGCTGGGTCGAGTTAATTTCATCTTGCAGTGTCTTATAGACCAGCAGTCCTGCTGAGTCATATGAAATCATGGGGAGGATGATAGCGTAATTTCCTAAATTAAGGGCCATCCTATGTGTCAATATAAATACTTTGGTTTTGAGATGTATGTTCCCAATCTGTCTTTCACTGAAGTATTCTGCTTCCTAAATTGAGCAGATCTCCGATGATGACTTCCTGTCTCACATCCCACAGCAAGAATCCATGTCTCTGGGGACAGAAACCAAAATTGTTTTAGTTAAAGGTATTCTGCTGACATGGAATAAAGAGGTCCTTCTCTTCTTGAATAGAGACTTCTGGCAATATAGGCATTCGTAACATTTTTTAAAGGTGCGAGGTCTGTGTGCAAATTCCTAGTGAACATACAAGTGCAGCAGTGTGATGCGGTAGCATGTTTCAAAGGATCGGCTTCAGCTTGATAAACTTTTTGTTTAGGACTAAAACTTTTCACTTTGAGAAGTCTAAACAAAAGGCAGCATCCTGTTATTCATAGCAAGCTATCATTTAACATTTTGATTATTATTTTTTAGTTTTGTAATAGGTTGTAAACCAACATAAAAAGTGAGTTTCCTTTTCAAAATTCCACTCCTATTAACCTAAGTAGGGAGAGTCTTCTCTAAACACTAGTGTGTAAACACTAAATGAAATCAGATAGTAGCTAATAAAAACCAGGAAGAAATCCCAGTATGAATTCAACGTAATAAGTTTCTAATTTCTGTTCTTTATAGGCAGAAAGTGTAATTCAGAAGATATTTTGTTTGCAGCAGGAAAACGGAATATATTTATTATGGTCAGGTGTTCGTGTTATGTAGAATTCTGAGAGAAAACAATAGGAAAAGGAACAAAGGTTTGAGAGGAGAAGGAATTTGAAGATATAAGTCTAACTGACTTTGATTCATAAATCGCCAAAGCAAATAAAATTTGTGTAAGCTTAATATTTTGTAATACTGAGACAACCTTAGTTCATAATCATGTAAAAATAAAATGAAAATAAACAAGTACTGAAATAATAATAGTTTTAAAAGTCTTTGGGAGCACAATAACCTCAATATTTATGGCTTGATTTTATGTAAAGTATATTCTGTAGAATATATTTGTAATATAGAGATTTTAAGCATTTAGAATTTCCAAAGCTAGGATGATATATCAAGATTTATAGCTACCACCTAATGTTTTCATTCCATCTGTTTGAACCTGGACTGAATTCAATGTGTCTTTTCATATAAACCAAAATCAGATTACATGATGCCTGACCTAATTTGGTAAAATTACAATAAAAAATTATAACTCAAGTAAAAGAAATAAGGAGCAATAAAATAATAAATATTGGTGAAGTTTGTTGAATAAATTACACCAAATAGCTTTGTACTCAGCAAAGAAATAAATAAAATCTATATTTAAGGAAAACAGACTCCTTTCTAAAGTTGCCAGATTGAATAAAAATAATGTGTTTCCTTGATTATTTATACTGTTCAAGTGAATCACAGGAGTGGAGAGCTTCTATAGTATGTACACATTGCCGAGTCACAAGGCAGCAAAATAATCTCTAGGGTGTACGTATTTCTTCTCAGGTTACAAAGATTCACTAGTTAATACTGCTGAATCTTAAAACTGAATTTTAATTATGTATGTCTGTTTCATTCATGTCTGGTTTCCAGGTGCTTATTAACAGTTGAGGCTTCTGGGAACCTGTCTTACTTGCTGGAATGACCTAGTGATTCTAAGACCCCATCTGTTCCTGAATCACTCTTAATTTGTACAGTGATCATTTATGAGCATCTCATAAACCATTCTAATAATTAATATTCTTGATTGAGTTTCACAGGGTGCAAAGCATTAAATGGGTTGATTTCATTTGTATGATATGGCTAGGGCCTATAATCACAGTAGCAGATGTTATATCTTAGAAAAACAGATCAATTTCTTTTCATAATTTACAGAAGAATTTTAGAGGACTCTAGAAACACCCTTTCGTTGCCACAAGTCAATACTGTGATGTTATACAACAATTATACAGGGCTTTGCCTAGTCTAGCAATTGTTTTGGTTTCAGTTCTCTGCCAGTATATTAAATGAAAAAATTCAAAGAAAAAATCACTTACCAAATCCTTGAGCCTTGCCTAAAAAGTGTGGGCCATTATGTTAGCATGTGTATTCATGGTTTTGAAAGTAGGAGACATATATGGAAACAATGAGAACATGGTGTGAGATTTTCGGCTTCACTGAGTTACATCATTTAGTTGGAAATCCATAGATTTTAGACCTGATTATCCAGAATAAATAATCTATACCTCCACTACTACTTGTATGCTTATTAGCATAGTCGATTGTTGTTTAGTTCATTCAAGTTCTTCCTGCTATTTTTAATGTACACATCTGTCCTTTTTCAGGTATCCTGGTTTTGCTGCAGATTCAACTGTTGCCTTACTTATAGGACTTCTATTCTTTCTTATCCCAGCTAAGAGATTGACTAAAACTACACCTACAGGAGAAATTGGTTGAGTATTATTTATAATTCTGAATGAATTTGACAGAAGAGCAAAAATTACAAAATTCCATTGGTTTCAGTTAGCACTTAGAACAGAAGGAATGGACATGCTTCCACAGCGCCTGGCTTAGCACACCCTGTTTGCACACCGCAACCCTTATTCAGCCAGCACGTGTTCTCCCCCTGCAAGGAGAACCATCTTACTTGGCAGAAGTGAGAAGTAGATTTCCTTATGCAACATGGTTAGAACTCCACTATGAGTGATACTGTTTGGTTCACAATAGGCCCACTTCCCCTGCCATAATCAGAATTAATCTTACTATTGGCAAACATAGGAACAAGAACTCTAAAGTCATACTTCATGATGAGCCCTTGATAATAAATGCTGAGGATCTAAAAAGGTGAAGAGTTTCAAGGGAAAGAGTATTTACATCATCATAGTAATCCTGGAGAGAATGCAAATCAAGCCCACATATAGCCAGAACCCTAGTGTCACAAATGAAAGACATAGTATTCAGTGGGAGCATTCATTGTATTTGTAATACATGGACAAAGAAGTATCCTTGTTTATGTGAGCATACCCCCCTTCCCCTGACACACACATATTTTTTAAACACAGGATTCTGCTGCCCCCCCATTTATGCTTTATACTAATATAGCAGGTGTTTTTGGTAGTCAGATTCCTATGTTGTTATTGTAGGACAAATGGTTTAAAATTGTTTGGAAATAGTCTAGTAGAGGGTGGGGGGTTTTATTGTTGGTTTTTCTTTTATTTGTGCCGCCTTTTTTTTTTTGCATGGGTGGAACCTGGATTCATGGAGTTGAGTTGGCCCACCTGACTCCCTGTGTCCAAATTGATAAGCGACTAATGAGTCAGATTTCTAGGACATGATATATATAAATAGCATAATGTAGAAATAAATGCCTTTTGTTCTTTACTTGAGTCTAGAACATCTCAAAGTGTGTTATAAGGAGATATTGTAATACAGAGTAATAATTTCTGTGAGACCCTGAGGACACTGACCGTTGAAGTCAAATCCCTATGGCCTGTTAGTGGCCAGTGTTGAGGAACCAATGCTTGGCTTAACTTCCCTGGTTCCCACATTTGAATCCTCCTCTCAGAAAAAGCCTTGCTTCTGTTGGGGAGAAAGAATTTTATCTTCCCTTCAAGATCCTTCCAGCTGGACTAAGACTCAAGTTGATAGGAGCAGATTAATGGTAGAAAATCAAATTTAATGGTGTACATACAGGGAATCCACACAGACATGGAAGTTCCAAAGACAGTGAGGCAACATGACCCTTATATGAGCTAAGAAGAGGGATAGGGGTCTGAGGATACAGAGGAGAAAGACCAATAGCAGGAAGGTGAAAGGAGATGTTTGGAAAACAAAGGTTACCCAATTATGCAGATAAGTTTCTTAGGTAAAGAGAAATCTTTGTTAATCTCTCTCTTCCTGGTACAAGCAGATAGTTGAGTGGGGAGGCAAAGAACTTTTTCTGAATCTGCTGGGGTTTTTTTGTTTGTATTTTTAATGTTTTGGGGGGGTTTGTTTTGTTTTATTTTTAAGAGAGAGAGCACTAGCAGAGGGGCAGAGAGAGGGGGGGACAAAGTATCCAAAGCAGGCTCTGCAGTTATATCAGCGAGCTCCAAGTGGAGCTCAAACTCACGAACCATGAGATCATGACCTGAGCCAAAGTTGGACACTCAACCGCCTGAGCCATCCAGGTGCCCAAGTCTGCTGGGTTGTGATTGCTTTTAACTCAAAATAACATTCATGACAAAGTCGCCCATCTTGGGGCAGCCTGCCGTTGGCCCCTATACCAATGTCTACCAGTCTCTCTCTTCTCATTCTTCAACTCCTGTTCTCCCTGATAAACTCATTCACAGTAGGTTTAAAAATGGCAAGACATTATGTGTTAAATTTTACATGAGAGGTATATTTCAGAAATGTTTGTGTTTTAACAGAAAATATATCGCTTTTTTTTGAGCGACAGAGAGAGAGAGAGAGCGTGCACACAGGTGGGGAGGGGCAGAGGAAGAGAGAGAATCTTAAGGAGGCTCCATGCCTAGTACGGAGCATAGTGCAGGACTTGATCTCAAGATCATGAGATCCTAACCTGAGCTGAAATCAAGAGTCAGACGCTTAACTGACTGAGCCACCAAGGCAGGCCTTGATAGGTATATATATCCTAATTCAAGCAAGGAAGAGCAAAATCTCCATCAATAGTGAAGCTAAGTTTGGTTTAGGTTTAACAGAAGGAGATAGGAAGGAGTCTTAGTAGTAACCCTAAAATCTCACCATGTAGAAGGCCACTTGTTACACACAAATGTTAAATGCGAATAATATATTCATGGATGACCTTTTTTCTCAACAAATCAAATGAGCCATTATGACCTAAATATCAAAAGAAGTCTTTATGATAATTGCTTTATAAGAATTTTAAGAGTCTTATGAATGATACTTAAATTATTTAATCTGAACTTTGATTTTAAACTGAAATCATGATGAATCTATTATGACCCTCCTCATGATTTGAAAAAATAAAAAAGGTTCAAGAAAATAGTGAATAAAATTATAATGCTACAGTGATGATATTAGAACCAATGTCGTATTAGACACTTTGAATAGCAAAGAATAGTATAGTCAATGCATTGTGTTACTCATAGTAGGCAGAATGTTAGTGGAATGAATGAATGAATGAATGGCACTATAAATGATAATGTTATAATCTATCTAAATTTGTAATATGATCCAAAAGATTTTTCCAAGTCATGTTTATGTTTGTTTGTTTGTTTTGGAATGCAGTGTTCCACCTCAGCCAGGTAGAAATCACTCAAAGTTCAGATCAAGTTACTTACCTAAAAACAATAGAGGAATATTAAAAACTTCTTATGAGATGGCGGTTTCAGGTAATGAAAACAAATACATGTCATATTGTCATCTTTTAAGCAATGTATAACTGTGGGAATTGTGTTTTGCAGTTGCTTTTGATTATTCTCCGCTGATTACTTGGAAAGAATTCCAGTCATTCATGCCCTGGGATATAGCCATCCTTGTTGGTGGAGGGTTTGCCTTGGCAGATGGCTGTGAGGTAATACTCTGTGTCTAAGATATTTAACAATTAACTAGACTTTTCCAAAGAAGAACAAGAGACATTTAAGCTTTGACATATTCAACTTTACCCTATCATTTTAACAATACAGAATTCAATAGTCATGCAGTGAGTATACCACACAAACAAAGTGAGTTCAATAATTTTTACAGGCTGCGAGCATAAAACATCATTTTTTATGATGTCCCAACATGTCAAAAGGAATAAAGCAAAGAAGATTAGAATTCTTAAACCATGAAATGGTACTAGAAGACTAGCTAAGTAAGAAAGAAATGCAAAAATCATATGTTCAATGACTCCTAGCAAAACATTTTGTTTTATACCTTTACCTTATTTCATGATGAATTTGAGTACCTCACAGACTTCTCTTCAGTGTATCATAGTCCAGGTGGGCCTGGGTGGCTCAGTCAGTTAAACGTCACGTTGGCTCAGGTCACGATCTCACAGTTCATGGGATCAAGCCCGGCTTTGGGCTCTGCCCTGAAGGGCTCTGCGCTCGCTCTCTCTCTCTCTCTCTCTCTCTCTCTCTCTGCCTCTCCCCTGCATGTGCTGGCTGTCTCTCAAAAATAAACATTTTTAAAAAATTTACAATATATCATAGTCCTAAGGCTGTCAAAGAAGAATAAGAAGTAACAGTACTTCATTACATCATTTATTTATTACATATTAAGTACATTAAAAGTACTTAGTACATGCTGGGGCACCTGGGTGGGTCTGTTGGTTAAGCATCTGCCTTCGGCTCAGGTTAGGATCCCACAGTTCAGGGGTTCGAGCCCTGCATGGAGTTCTGTGCTGACAGCTTAGAGCCTGGAGCCTGCTTCACATTCTGTGTCTCCCTCCCTCTGCCCTCCCCCTGGTCATGCTCTGTCTTTCTCTGTCTCTATCTCAAAAATAAATAAACATTAAAAAAAAAAGTATTTAGTGAATGTTTATTGAATGAAGTCCAGAGAGAATTTTACATAACCATTGCTAATACTACATTATGTCTAATTTTAGGGAGAAATAAAACCACCATTAGGAATAATTCTTTGGCCTGTCATCTACTATCTAGTTTATATAAAGTAGAAGTCTGGGGAGGCCTTTGTCACTTGAAAGTCATTGTAGGGCTGCTGGAAAAAAGCATCTTCTTAAAAAGTCCATGAGAAAGTTTTTACTCTTTGACTGATTAAAAACTCTCATTTCTAGGTCTTATAGTCATATGTGAAAAACTTAAAGCTCACAGCTGCTCCATTTCCTTATTCAGCCATCAGAGTAAAAAGGATGATGAGAGAGATGTGTTGTGTCCAGCCTTTTCGTTTCTGGAAAGTTAAATTTTTATTTTTCTCAAGGCGAATAACTATCTGCTATCTTCTAAATAGCCTCTAGGGAGATTGTCTTTTGCTTCTTACTTTATTGTCAATTTTTCTGTATGGCATTTGGACACAAAACTTTCGACTTAATAGGTGAAAAATCTCAGAAATTGTCTCAATTCTGAGTGCCACTTATAATGCCTTTTTACATCCAGATTTGGCTTGCCTCATAGACCACTCAAATTTAAATGATAGAAATATAAGGCAAATTCACTTTTTTCCCCTACTATTTCAGAAATAATGAGATCTGGTTTCTCAGAATCAGTAACTTCCGTTATTTTTATTGCTAATTTGAACTGTGAGGGAATCAGAATCGGTAATTCTGACACTGATGTTAACTTTGTTCATGTCTCCTTCCCAGAATATCTGTCCGGATTGGACTCTAGATACTCAAAGTGATTTTAAAAGCATTGGCCAGACCCTAGAATTGCCAAATCCAAGAAAATTAAAAGGTGTGGACTTCCTCTGATACACTAGCCCCTCCCACTGGAAGAATTAGGGAAACCATAGAAGGAGGTCTAGTTTGCTGTGAAAATCCTGGTACATAGAATTAAATTTCTGTGGGATATCCAGAATGACCCTATCCCTGAGTGGGTATGTTGAAGCCATGAATTTCAAAAATATGGCTGTGGAAAAATATGCCCCTAGAAACTGATTTTACAAAGATTTGGAGACAGTTCATTTTTTAAAATTTTGTTCCAAACTGTAATTAGTTTGGCAAATGTCCAGAACTCAATAACTCTCCTGGGTGGGAGTGATGAGAGAGCAGCTAGCTACTAAAGCATTCACCTCTTTGTAATTCGCTCTCTCTTAAAAGCCTGTTAACTTTGTTTTAATATAATCACAGTACACTAAGTGTCGCAGGTATGAACAATATTCATATAATCCTAATGGCAAAATTTAAATATTGATTTAATAAAAAGTGTTGATATATGAGTAAAGGAAATGGAGGGCCAGGAAATACATGTATGGTGGATGGTGTAAGAAAGCTGAATCCTTATGTAACGTATTGGAAAGTCAGTAAAGAAAATCTAAATTAGCAAATTAGGAAAACACATAGTTTAAAAAATAGCTGTAAATAGCTAATATGGGTTGAAAATTGTCTCTGGGGAACACAACGTAGGAATAGAGAGAGGCAGACCAGAGGGCTTCCATTTTCTTAAAGTCCTGTAGTACCACATGATTTGTCCATATAAATTAGGTAAAATTAAATTTTAATTTAAAAAACGTGAGAAGGCAATTCAAATTTCCTAAAGCATGTTGGTAGTGTTAAAATAAGAATAATTGAGAACTTCTCCATGTCAGAGCCTCCTAGATCTACCAAACTATGGGAAAATATGAAAGATTAAAGTTATATTTTAGAAACTGTGTTCTTAGGGCAAAGGTTACATTTTATATATTTAAATTGTGTCTGATTAAAATGAATTGTTTACAAATAACATTACAAATTATTATTATTTTCTTTTTTTTTTTTTAGGAATCAGGACTATCTAAGTGGATAGGAAATAAATTATCTCCTCTAGGTTCATTACCAGTATGGCTAATAATTCTGATATCTTCTTTGCTTGTCACATCTTTAACAGAGGTAGCCAGCAATCCAGCTACCATTACCCTTCTTCTCCCGATATTATCTTCATTGGTGGGTATCTCATTGATCTGCTTTTATACTCATCAAAAGTGTAGTGTTCTACTTTGCTTGTTCTCATATTGTGGTATGGGATCATTTTTGGTGCAAATGATCTTCCTATAAGTAGCTTATAGAGTGGTCTTTATTTGGGTTGATACTTTTTTGGGAGACCTCAATGCAGAACTCTGTTCTACATTCAAGCAGCAAGATCTTAAGAGAAGTACTTACCTTCTTTCTGCCCAGATTTTTCATTTGCAGATAAGTACAAGGGTCAGCCTGGATCCTTTCCAGCTGTGAGATTTTGGGATTCAGTGTTTCCTGGCAACTTCAGTATTTAGATGTCTAACACTGACACTTCTCCCTCCAGATTATTCCCCAGTTTCCGAGAAGTGGTTCATATAGGTGATTTGCAAGTGAATAAGAAGCTAGGCTTATGCTTCCGGCTTTAAGCTTAAATATCTTAGACATGGTTGTTTCTCTCTATAGCCCAGGGAATAGTTTTAAAAGATAAGTAAAAACCAGATTTGCAAGGAGAGAGAGGAAACGACAATCTACCTTTTTTCTCCCCACCTAGCTAGCAATTACAAGAAATAGCGTTAAGTAAAATGTTTTCCTTATTGGGACGGCTAAGTTTGGTGAGAGGTAGCACTTTAAATTAAGAAGGATTGCCCTTCTGAAATTGTTCTCCTCCAGCTCAAGGCGCCTATGATAGCATTCTTAAGCTGCTGCTTCAAATTAGAGAAGAAATGTAGGCAGTTTATACTGGCAAAATACCATTTTGGTTTTTCTGTTTTTTATTTCTCAACAGGGCACAGATGAAATGGCACAGTTAGAAAAGTTAGATGATGAATTAAGAATAGGAGTGACTCTTCTTCTGTGAAGATCCCTAAGCAAATTTTAAATTATATATGGCGCAGAGGCAGAAAAGTTAATGGGATAATGAGAAGCTTTGGAGCCAGAGAGACATAAGCCCCTACATAAGCTCTACTGCTTGCCATCTTTGTGTCTGGACTTTAACCTTTCTGGGCCTTAGTTTCTTCATCTGTTATTTGGGGCTATAGTAGCCATCTCATAGGTCATTGGGAAAATTAAGTTATTTTATATAAATACACACACACACACACACACACACAGCACCTAGCACACTGGATAAATGATAAATTGCTTCTGTTTTTATTTAGTTCCTGGAATAAATGATACTTTATTTTCTAAATGAACTGAGCTTTAATACTTATGTGGGCATCAATAACCATATAGACAACAACAAGAGGAAGAGACATTTCTGAAAAATATTCTTCAAGCTAGAGTTGCATTTATGTGTACAATTTTATGTCTTTAAGTTTTAACCTGCTTCTGCGAAAGTTTATTATAATAATTTTGCTCATTTTGATGCTTGGTGCCTACCTCAAAATTTCGCTTAGACTCCTTTGTCTTTCCCAACAGGCTGAAGCCATTCAAGTGAACCCTCTTTATATTTTGATACCTTCTACTCTGTGTACTTCATTTGCATTCCTCCTACCAGTAGCAAATCCACCCAATGCTATTGTTTTTTCATACGGCCATCTAAAAGTAATTGACATGGTGAGTGAGCTGTAAGAAAACAATCAGGTCCAATGTCTTGCGTTATCGCTCCTTTTACACACTAATCAACTTCCAGGGAAAGCATGGCTTGAGTTCTGTTTCTGAAGGTGAGTACATGATTGGTCATAGAATTGTTTTCAAGAGTGATACCAGAAGCAAACATGCCATTAGAATTTGCAGTCACAAATACAGATACTGAATGCATCAGTAACACTCTGGAAGAGGGAAAAGAGCATAGACTGTGTTCCACACAAGGGCTTCAACTTACATGTCAAAATCAGAATCCAACTTGACCTAGGCAAAAGGAAGAAATAGGATTAATGAAACTCAGCAGTCACGCCCTGTGGTTTTCTATCACAAACATCTTTGCAACCAACCAACATTCACTTTGAATAACATACTGGGCTCGGTGCCTGCTGATGAAAAGTCGTCTTTCTTGTTGTGATTCTAATAGTGGCATCTGACATGAAAGTGCAAGCAAGTCATAACGGAACATTTAGTGTGGTGTCTACATGTGGTGTTTCTTCCGATCCGATGGGGGCCCCAAAATGTGGGGCAACGATCAGGTGGAAGCCACCTGAAGCAGAACAGAGGAGATAGAAGTTGGCTGAAGACACCACAAGAGAACAACGGGCAGGACGGCAGAAGAAAGGCTGTCTGCAAGGAGGCAGTGGGTGGGGGGCGTTTTTAAAGGAGGAAGTTGAAGAGGTTTGGCAATATATGGAATTTTCCCTTTTTTGGTAACTGAGCCTGGTTGTAAGTAGCCCATTGGTCATTTAGGGCCTTTGGATATTTGGGGGTGGGTCGCCTGATGGGCCTGTCGGAATTCAGCCAGGTGGTCACTGTGGCCCTTTCTACATTCCCTTGCTCATGGCTGTTTGCCATGGTAGGCAAGGACTAGCTTGAGAACACTCTAGTCTCCCCCAAATCTTGATCACCATCTTCCAAACCAAACCAAACAGAAATGTAATGAAAGTAACTTCCATTAGTTTACTCTGCAGGTGCACTCCCCAGGTAAGTCCCAGCTCCCTCCTGCCACACACATTGCTGTCCCTACATTCCTGCAATGCAAACATTTTGGAAATGCCTCTGCAGAAGTCACATAATATTCTTTTGGAAAAGAAAATGTGTAGGACACCATGTAACCAGTGTCCTGTGCACATGAATTTAAACAATAAAAACAGGATTCTGGAATAAGTGAGTGGCTTGCATAGAAAGAAAAGGAGACTTCCTATAATAATCATCACTAGATATCTCCTTTTGCTTTGGGGCTCCATGCTTTAAAACAGAGAATGAGAGGTAAGCAGTCTTTCCCTGTAAAAAGTCAGACAGTAAATATTTGACACTGTGGGCCGTATGCTCTCTGTCACAACTACTCAATTCTGCCATTGTATCACGACTGCAGCCAACAACAATATGTGAACAAATAGTCATAGTTCTAGTACCATAAAACTGTATTTACCAAAACAGGTCATGGGCAGTATTTTGCCATTTGTCTCTGTTTTAATGGATAGAAAACAACTTTGAAATTTTTAGTAGCTACTAGGATGATGACATAAAAGCCAGAAAAATGGGCACTCTAAGAAAGACGGATAGAAGTGGCATTTTATTAAATCTCAATAGGAGAATACTAAAGGCTAAACTAATAATAGTATTGAGTGGACATGAAGGATCCAGTTATCATATCATGACCCGAACCTTACCCACTGAAAGACGACCTCAAAACTCAAATTCTGATTTAACATGAAATGGCAATTTTTTAAAGGGATTTTTTCTTGAGTTAGTTGATTCCAGTATATTCCTAAGAGGAACCTCTCAGCATCTCCAACTAAATGTCATTTAGCTGGGGACGGATTCTCCTTTGACATGAATGGAAGAATTCATTGTTTTATGAAATGACAACAATTTACACACATCATTTAGGGCGCATGTAAATCTGGCATATACTTTCTGCTACCGTGTTCTAACTCTCCTGTAGGTTTTCTTTTGGGGAGACTGACATTTATGCTCTTTCCTGTTCAAGGTTAAAGCTGGACTTGGTGTTAATATCGTGGGTGTCGCTGTGGTGATGCTTGGCATGTCCACCTGGATTGTGACTCTGTTTGACCTGTCTACTTACCCTTCTTGGGCTCCTCCAATTAGTAATGCGACCATGCCATGACAAGCATGAACATTATAACTATCCTGTGGTGAGTTTTGAGAACCATTGAGAATTCACTGCAGATTTGGCTTTGGGAAATTGATGACACATTTAAATTAGTCCTGATGTAGCTTTTGTGGTTCCAGTAAATGCTCAAAACCTGCTGGCATAACCCAGAGTTCACACCAAAGAGCATCTCCGTGCCTTTATCAAGAAGCTCACAGCTGAGATTTTGCTCATAGACCCTATGAATCCTGCTTCAACGTAAGAGTAATTTATAACATGACCTTCAAAGAGATTAGGTGATTTATTTCATTTTATAGTTTTGGTTTGGTGTAACATTTCAAACATCAATTTAGTATTTCAGAAACTTCCCATAAAGCTAGAAATAGGAAATAAAACATACCAGTTAGTTAGGTACTTGGATAAATCATTTCTGTAGTGTTGCTGAAGGGAATTTGTTGAAAAACCAAAGCAGTGGTCATCTGCTGGTGCAGAAGAAAGGTTTAATTTAAATGAAATCTGCACTCTATCATTTTAAAAAATACCAGATTATTTTTGACGTATACATATGATATGAAAACTGAAATTGAACTGGTAGTTTCAAAATTATAGTTGAATCCACTAAACAACAGAAATCTCATAGATAAGGATTAATGTCTACTTGACCTTATGGTTGGATTAATATAATTCATACCTTTATATCTCAGTGCACTAAGAAATGCATTTTGTAGAGCTGTGAATGATGCTTGCTATGATTTGCACTGTTAGCACAGTGTAGGTATAAAAGAAAGCTAAACACTATAAAACTATTAACACATTTATGTATATGTATAACAGTTTTGTTTATATGTTTATCTTATAAATACATAAATACAAAATATAAATATAAATCAGAAATACATAATGTCATATGTAAAAAGAGAAGATTCAGAAATCTAAATGAATTATCACTATGTATAGAGATAGAAAAAAGTAACATAACTCCATTATTTTCAACATTGAGGCAAAATATCAGATGAAAAATAAGAATAAAAAAGTAAAACTGTTGACATATTTATGAAATAAAAATTATTAAATTAACTATTGAACAATAATTTTATTATTACTAAATAGTTAATAATTTAATAATTATTAAATTAATAGTTATTAAGTTATTCATGGGCAAAAAAAAAGAAAAAAAAGAAGGGGTGTCTGAGTGGCTCAGTTGGTTAAGCATCTGACTCTTGATTTCAGCTCAGGGCAGGATCTAAGTTTGTGGGTTTGAGAGCCCCATGTCAGGTGCTATGCTGGTGGTGAAGCCTGCTTGGGATTCTCTCTCTCTCTCTCTCTCTCTCTCTCTCTCTCTCTCTGCCCTCACTCATGCTTGCTCTCTCTCTCTCTCTCTCTCTCTCTCTCTCTCTCAAAAATAAACTTTAAAGCAGAAAAGGAAAGGAAAGGAAAGAAAAAAAGAAAGAGAAGAGAAGAAAAAAGAAATCTGAACATCCAAACAAAAATAGAAAGAGAATAGTCTCCTAGCACTCAGGATGTGAAAAAGAATAAGGTCTATTGACATTTCCTAAATTCGACTACAGGGGAAAAAACGACAATGAAAAACAAAATAATGTGCACAGTTAGGAAAGGATGGAGAAGTTAAAACATAACAATTCTCATGCTAAAAATAAAGTGGAAGACAGGTTAAGAAAATACTTTTGGTATTTTTAATCTTGATAGAAGTCATCAGCCCTCATTTGGTTTTTATGCAAATGATGGTACTTATAAGGTTGTTCTTGAAAATTAAATATAGCAAAAAGTAGTTTTTAAAAAGGAAGACATTCCTTTAAAAATTATATATTATAGATTGTCTATGTTCATTGTCTATTAGTCAATGCAAAATTTATCATTTTTTAAAAAATTTGTCCACTTAAGCCTTACAATATATTGCTGCTTTATGTATGTCTTCTAAGTTCCCCCTATTCACTTATTTTTTTCCCTATCATATGTTATACTTTTACTTATGATCAATAGAATCTATTACTTTTTGGCTTTTTTTCTAGTCATTCAATTTATCACTGCTGAATTATATTATGTGATGAATACATTTTAATTATGAAAAAATGAAATGACTTTTCAAATTAGAATGAAGAAGTTTTCCCTTCAAAAAAATAATACAAACATTTCAGCTTGATTCATTTTAATGAATTGCTTCCACAGCTGCCAGCTGAGTACAAGAAAAATAATACTTAGTCAAAATTTGTTTAAGTGAGCCATACTGTTCTCTTGCTCCACCTTTATGTTTAGTTGACATATCAAAAATGACTTAACTCATCCATTTCACATTTGTCCCATTTACATCAAAGTTCTCAAGCTATTTTAGTTTGAAAGTTGTATACTGTCTTTGGAAGTTTCCAAAAGGCAATCTAAACAGATGATCAAACAAATCTGTGTCCTCCCACTCCATGGTAGAGAGTGTTTTTGTTATTATCCTGATCCTTTCTTAAAGGTTAACTAGAAATCTTTGTCACTTTAAGTCCCAGTATCTTCCTCAGGATTGGCTCTTGTCTAGATAATAGTAGCAATTTCACTAAGTGCCTATTTACTGTCTGTTCATGCAAGTGTTTGGAGGCCCCACTGGCGTATGTGTGTGTCTTTCACTCACTTCAGCTGCCTCTGTACATGTCAGCATCTCTAGAATTCAGACTTCCTTCCCTTCAAATGTCTGCACTCTTTCCACCTCACTTGGTCAACACGGCTTTGTTCTCTCCTTTCAGCCTGGGAGGTAGGGAAGTATGCTTTTAACCAATGAGAGTCATCAACCCTGTTATCAAAAATTGATAATATAATATCCTGGTACCTTGGAAGTTTCTTGACATGTATACTACATAGTATAATACATAAAAGATTTATTATTTGATACATTATTATATCTCTGCCATGGCTAAATATTTGATAAAGATTGGGGCGCCTGGGTGATTCAGTCATTTAGGCGTCCAACTTCGATTCAGGTCACGATCTCACAGTTGATGGGTTCAAGCCCTGCATCGGGCTGTGTGCTGACAGCTCAGAGCCTGAAGTCTGCTTCAGATTCTCTGTCTTCCTCTCTCTCTCTGCCCCTCCCCTGCTTGTGCTGTCTCACTCTTTCTCAAAAATAGATAAGTATTAAAGAAAAGTTTTTTAAGCAAAAGAAGAAATGAAGCACTTTATTTTTTTAATGTTTATTTATTTTGAGAGAGAGACACACACAGAGCATGAGTTGGGGAGGGGCAGAGAAAGAGGGAGACACAGAATCTGAAGCAGGTTACAGGCTCTAAACTGTCAGCACAGAACCTGATGTGGGACTCAAACCCAAGAATAGTAGGATCATGACCTGAGCCAAAGTCTGATGCTCAACCGACTGAGCCATCCAGGCGCCCCAGAAGCACTTTAATCAAAGTAAAAATTATGGGGCACCTGGGTGACTCAGTTGGTTAAGCCTCCAACTCTTGATTTCAGCTCAGGTCATAATGTCACTGTCGTGGGATCGAGCCCCATGTTGGGCTCCGTGTTGGGCATGGACCCTGCTTAAGATTCTCTCTCTCCAGGGGCGCTTGGGTGGCGCAGTCGGTTAAGCGTCCGACTTCAGCCAGGTCACGATCTCGCGGTCCGTGAGTTCGAGCCCCGCGTCAGGCTCTGGGCTAATGGCTCGGAGCCTGGAGCCTGTTTCCGATGCTGTGTCTCCCTCTCTCTCTGCCCCTCCCCTGTTCATGCTCTGTTTCTCTCTGTCCCAAAAATAAATAAAAAACGTTGAAAAAAAAAATTTAAAAAAAAAAAAAAAAGATTCTCTCTCTCCCTCTTCCTCTGCTCTTCCCCTGCTCACATGCATTCTCTCTCTCTCTCTCTCTCTCTCTCTCTCTCTCTCTCTCTCAAAAAAAAAAGGGGGGGGTAAAAAGTTATTAGGTAAGTTTTCAGGATGCAGATATCAAAAACACAGGTCCCCAGACTGTTTGTAAAAGCAAGACCAGACTAGACCAAGAGTAAACAGTAAAACAGTGTAGAACTAAAGCAGCAATCAATGGGTTTTTCCAAATATGGGGATCATCATTTGCCTAAGAAGAAAAAGACTCAGGGTTTAAAAAAGAAATAAAGGAGGTTTTCTTACTTATAGTATAGTGGTGTAGATACTGGGGGTGTTTTTAGGGGGAGTAGATTTTAAGCCAAATAATAAAAAATATTGTATAACATATATTCCTATGCCAGCAAGAAAATAATGGAAGTCCTCAAGAGAAAGATGATTGAGCACCAGCAAGCACCCAGAGACTTAACCAAGGACTGACAGTGGCAACTGTTAATCCCTAGACATCTCAAAATTTTCTTTTAATGGGTAGATACACAGGAAGCAAGGGATGGGTGACTAAGCCAGGACCCAAGCAAGTGTAAGTTGAATGGAAAACTACATTGAGTGAGGATCTCAAAGGGCTGTATTCTCAGAGCAAATGTGAACTGGGGGAAAAAAGCCCATCCTATAGAGGAAAACATCAAAGGAACCTTCATGTTTTGGCCTATGCACTAGGTAGAAGAGTAAAATCTCCCTTGAGAATTCGTAACTGTGCAGGTTAGGGGCCTAAACTCTCAATACCAGTGTGTATTGGAAAAAAACCTTAATCTGAAACTTTATCTTAAAACAATCCCGGGTTGGTAGTATGCCCAAGTATCTGGCAAAAGGAAGGAGCACCCTCTTCAGCCTGGGGCTCAGAGAATTACTAAGGTGAAATCTCTGTGAGAGATTATAATCAAAACTTGTAAATTCTGCCAAGACGCAAAACATACTGTGCAAGAGCCTGAATAATCCAAAGGACAAAGACAATAGATACTCTACTTCTCAAATACAGAATATAAAATGAGGAAGTATAATGTTTGACAATATAAAAGAGGGTATGAGAAATATAATAATTGTGGTAGGCAGAATTCTAAAAATGTCCTCCTAAGTTTTCTGTCTTCTGGTTATTCAATCAAACACTAATCTAGGTATTGCGATGAAGGGGGTTTGCAGATATAAATAAGTT